TGCGCTGTGAGGGGAGTGTGTGGTCCCCCCCCCCCCCCAATAGCTAGCAATCCAAAACAGTCCAGTGGAGCCTGAGCCGTGGGTGTTGCCTTCTGACACACTTCCGGTGATGTCAGGGGGTGTAGCATATGCTAATGTGTTATGCTAATGAGCTATGCTAATGAGCTCCTGCACCTCTTTTTCTACGAAATGACCCCTGCTAATCAGTGTTCCCTCTAAGCTGAGTTAGTGTGAGCGAGCTCACTGTTTTTTAGCCTCCGGCTCACACCTTTTTTGTCTCTGCTCCAGAGCAAACCAATTGATGCAGCAACCCAATCGCCCGCTCACAACTTTAATGCCGGTAGCTCACAAAGTGGAATTTTCGCTCACAGGACTCCGCAGCTCAGAGGGAGCATTGGGTGGGAGTACCTTGCGTAGAAAGCCAAAGTATTTAGAACCGGCCCCGCATCTGGGACACGGGGATCCAGGTTTCCAAAGTGGGGCGGCAGAGGGAATCGCAGAGTCAGGCTTGAGTTGTGCCACGAGTCCCACCTCTGAATTTAGCCCTGCGACTCAAGTTTGCTGGAGAAAAGAGTCGCTGGAGAAAAGCTTAAACCGTTGGCTGCCCAGAGAGTCCCGGGATCCTAGCGCCAGATGCTCCGGTCTTGTGATTTTCCTCCCACATCACACATTTTGGCTCTCACCTCTTTCTCTTCCCGCTCCTCTGCTTCTAAACAACATTTTCCTCTGGATCCCTCGATGTTTTGGGACTCTCCCTTTTGCGATGGATCGCCCTCTCTCATTCAGTATCTGCAGACCAGGGTTCCCTCTAAGCTGAGTGAGTGTGAGCGAGCTCACAGTTTTTTTAGCCTCCGGCTCGCACATTTTTGTCTTCGCTCAGAAAGGAGGGCTCCGGAGCGGACTAATTTCTGCAGTAGCCGAATCGCTCCCTCACGACTTTAATGCCAGGAGCTCACAAAGTAGAATTTTCACTCACAGGAGCGTTGCTGCAAGCCTTGGTTTTGTTTTTAAAAACAGAACTATCCAAAAAAAGATCTTTCCCTTTTTTTTAAACAGAATCGGGGACTGAAAGTTGCTGAGCAGACCCCCTGATCGAGAGGTTTCCAAATTATGTTTCAGGAGAGCCCAGTGTTCTCCATAAGCCTAGCAGAGATTCCTTGATGAGAAAAACAGCCCTGAAATTCAGCCGGAAACATTGGATGCGCTCTGAGCCTCACCCAGTGTGAACTGCACGCCTTTGAATGTGGGCTCCAAATCCCCTGCAGTGCTCGACGGACACACAGAGGTGGCTCATAAGACACATCGATGGGGAAAAGAGCTCTCCCAAAGATAGGAAATTTTCAACATGATAACCCCCCCCCTGCCCTGAGTTAGGATAACCGAAGGGTTTAACGCAAAAGTTAGCAACCGGAACAGAGGTCCCACCAAGTTCTTTTAGAAAACTGGGCGGGGTCAGGCGGGGCTGTTTCCCAACAGGGCTTCTGATTGGCTGCGCAGTTTAAAAGGCATCCCGTTCAACAGAGCTTCTGTTGGAAATCTCGTAGAGGTACCATGAGAGCCAGGGCTATTTTTGGGCAGGAACGCACAGGAGCGGAGTTCTGGCTGGCTCCCGAGTTGGCCACGCCCAGCAGGAACTCATTAGCATAATAGGCCACACCCAACAGCAGAAACTCATTAGGATTGGCTACAATTAGGGGTGTGTGGCCTAACATGCAAAAAGCCCTGGGTTTTGACAACAAGAGAATAAGAAGCAAAAGGTGGGTGTGGCTGGATGACCACACTTCTGGTAACATGGGGGTGCGGCCTAATGTGCTAATGAGCTGTGATGTCAGGGTATGGTCTAATATGCTAATGAGTTCCTGCTGTTGGGTATGGCCTATTATGCTAATGAGTTCCTGCTGGGCTTTTTCTACAAAAAAAGCCCTGATGAGAGCTATTGATAACCTCGCACCCTGACATCTTGTGGCTGGCTCCGCCCCCTCTGGCAGCCATTTTGTGATTGTGGCCGGCGCCCTGTGTCAGAATTCCAAGCAAATTCTGGCCCATAGACAGGGCCTCCTCGGCCCTCAGATCACCAGTCTAGAGGAGAAAGCAGTGGGGAGCGGATTGGAACTTG